AACAAGACAAACTTACCAGAGATATCCAACTATATGCCCAATAAGCCTATCCATTAAATAATCCAGTGAAATAACATCTCAGCTGATCCTGAAAAAATCATACAATTCAGTGATACACATTTAACCTCATTTTACAATGTAAGTAAAGCAATAATTTACAGACAAGAGGGACAGAAATGTAAAAGATACCATGTATTTTACCAAAATTTAGTGAATATTTTTCTGATTGAAATTCAATCATAGAATGACCCATCATAGAAATATTAAATGTACTCTGAGTTACATGCAGGTTATACAACTGTAAATTACATGAAATGAGGATAAATACAGCATTTACATTCAAAATAGAACTTTACATATAAATCATTGTTAAATGCAAAGATGAACTTCATAGGAAATGTAAACTTTTAAAAAAAACAAGACAAACTTACCAGAGATATCCAACTATATGCCCAATAAGCCTATCCATTAAATAATCCAGTGAAATAACATCTCAGCTAATCCTGAAAAAATCATACAATTCAGTGATACACATTTAACCTCATTTTACAATGTAAGTAAAGCAATAATTTACAGACAAAAGGGACAGAAATGTAAAAGATACCATGTATTTTACCAAAATTTAGTGAATATTTTTCTGATTGAAATTCAATCATAGAATGACCCATCATAGAAATATTAAATGTACTCTGAGTTACATGCAGGTTATACAACTGTAAATCACATGAAATGAGGATAAATACAGCATTTACATTCAAAATAGAACTTTACATATAAATCATGGTTAAATGCAAAGATGACCTTCATAGGAAATGTAAACAAAAATAAGACAAACTTACATGTAGAATATGTCTGTCAGAAAGAAGATTTCAAAAATGAACCCGCTCTCAACATTCACATGGTAAGAATGCATCAGGATGTTTACTCCCGTGGTCATAGAGAAATTGAGCTTTAAACAAGAAAAGCTTCACAGCAGGAAAATCATCATAGTAAAAGAGAGGAAAAAACAAAAGATAGTCCTACATTTTCTGAAAATGTCAGATCACTTCTTAGAAACAAAAGTGAAAATGAAACTTTAATTTTACAAGTGTATGACGTCACAATGCATAGGTAAGCATATTTTTTGCACACGACCCTAAACAAACTTGAGTGGTTGCCAAAATCGTAGTAGCAGCGTTGTGAATCGTAGTAGCAGCGTAGTGTATAATGTAAACACAGTATAAACACACCCCGTATTTAGGGGGCTATATGTAATGAATTGACCCACTTATCCCCCAAGGACTGTACTGAGTTGACCCGGCTATCCCCCACAGACCCCCCTAATCTGATCTCCCTTGACCCACCTATCCCCTCCAGGGGCTGCACTCCTTTGACCCACCTATCCCCCCCAGGGGCTGCACTCCGTTGAACCCCCTATCCCCCCCAGCCCCAAAAGTGCACTCCGTTGAACCCCCTATCCCCCCAGCCCCAAAAGTGCACTCAGTTGAACCCCCCATCTAGACCCCTTATACTACTTATGTTCAAAACAACATATTTTTATTTGTACTTTTTTGATTATTTTTTTTATTAATTTATATATTTATTATGTTCCCCAAACGAAGTTGGGGAACATATTGTTTTTACTCTGTTTCTTATTATTATTATTATTTTTCTTCTTCTTCCTGGGTACTTTTTTGTCCGGGAATGATCTCGTAAACTATACATCCGACTAAGGTGAAATGTTTTTAGGGTCAGTAGACATGTTATGTAGATTTGCGGAACGAAGGTCATTTTGCGCGCACGTGCTTGCAAGAGCGTGCACGTGCAACATGTGAAATGACCGATTTAATTGATATAGGCGTAACTTTTAAAATTTTTGATGAAATGCTTTGAAACTTATAATATAAGGATATATTAGAAGCATAGACAATATGACATGGTCAAAATAGCAAGATCTCACGCGCATGCACGTGCGCTTTGTTCTGATTGGCTGAAACTAAAGTCTCAATATCTTTCTTGTTTTTTGACGAAATCCTTTGAAATTTTGAAAATAGCCATGCATAAGTATATCCTACAACATGATATATAGCAATTATCATTAAAACACGTGCATGCACGTGCGCTGCAATCTGATTGGCTTAAACTTTAAATAGCTATAATTCCCTTGATTTTCAACCAAACAGGATGGGATTTGGAACATAGATAGATATACTGGTCTACTACAAGAAAATATGGTCACCATGCACATGCATACACGTGCATGTACGTGCGCTGCAATCTGATTGGCTGAAACTTTAACAGCTATAACTCCCTTGGTTTTCAACCAAACGGGGTGAGATTTAGAACATAGATAGATGTAACGGACATCTACAAGAAGATATGGTCACCATGCTCATGTATGCACGTGCGTGCATGTGAAATGAGCAAAATCAAAAAAACACTTGAATGAGCGTATCTTTTTAATACGTTTGGATTAAATACTTTAATATTTAGTATATTTAAATATATGGATTGTGTAGACAAGATGATATGGTCATTACGCACATGCATTCACATGCGCACGCGTACAATGCTAAAATTTGAATGAACTTTGTACACTTCTAGGTAAACGCTGTTAAAGTCTCAAATGCATCGAGTTTGTCTTATTTAATGAAGCTTACAGGGAATATGGCACCAAAAGGCAGTTGGGGGGCGTTTGGGGAACATCTGTAACGGTCCCCGTTACAATTAGCACTAGTTTAATTGATTATTTTATTTATTTATTGATTTATTTATTTATTTAACCAGAACCAGCACAAAACATACTTTGTAACAAGCAAAGAAAAGTAACTCCGGTATCATCGTAAACTTGTATTTGAAAAAAGAAAACGAAAAAAAATGAAATTGCAAAGAATGACTGCTATGAGAGTTGGAACCCGATGTGTAGCATTTAAATGTGATGTTTTTGCCGTAAAATTCAATTGTGACATATATCGCTACATGTTATACATACATGTGACATGGCAATTATTATCAAAATTTAAGATGCCGCAAGTTAAAATTCTGTCTAGAGATCTTTTCCTTAATAACATGGCAACATTTTGTAGAATTTAAAATAAATTTCAGCATTAATTTTTCACCCAGCATTACAAAATTGGGGATTTAACGAATTTTAAAAACTTTGTGACATTGAACCTCCAAACTTTGTGACACACCATCTTATTCCATATATTCAAAATAAATCGGCTTAATAGCAGAAACCCAACATACATATCCACACAAACGATCAGTCTAATTTAAAATATACTTCCTTGCACACAAAAAGGATCATTGAGATGCAATTTCAAAATTGATTGAGCTCATGAAATTATTTTTTTTTAGTAACCGAAGACTTTTTATCTGGATCTCATATTTCGTCGATTTACGCGCGTCTACACCTCTGTCTTGGATTTTGAGAAACGCGTACGGAACATATGGATTGAATAACATCACAATTGCTAGAATTTACATCATTTACACCATATTTTGAATTTTTCTGTCAAATTTTATGTTTGTATTGTTTGTTTTATGGAAGTTATCAACTTTTTGTTATTGCATGTGCGACGCTCCTGTTACCCGTCTACATGCGTTTTTGACGTAATTGACTGAATAAACGAATTAATATATTGGATAAATGGAATTTTTTGAACAATTTTTTTTTTAAAAATGTATTAAGTATACAATTACCGAAGGAATGATATATAGTTTTCATATGGTGAATTGTTTTGAAATTAGCAAAATAGGGCAAATGCCGCCGCAATAGCAATTTTTGACCTTTTGACACCAACATCGTGCGCGACGTCGGTATTAGTTTGCCGATTACATGCTGTACATGTAGCAGTGGCTGATCCAGAAATTTTGAAAACGGGAGCCCGACCAGTTTTAGGTCAGGGTAGGAGCCCACAGTCACACCAAAAAAAAAAAAAAAAAAAACTAAACTTTTTATTTTATTTTTCCGTTACTAATTAAATTAGTCCACAATTATTATTCAAGATGATAGTGAAAATGTCATTTTTTTAATACACTGTAGGTTCGAACACATATAATTATTTTAAGATTTAGTTAATTCGCTGCTTGACAGCAAATACTACATGAGCAGTGAGAATTTAAGTATTACAATTTTAAAAGAACGTTAGATAGAGAAAATTATGCAGTGCTTGATAATGTAGAAGCCGAAATTCATTTTCTTTAATGCATTGTCCTTTGTACTCTGAATAAAGATCAAAACTCTTTTGAAAATTATCTCTGCCAGTAATCAAATCGCATGCCATTTATGGATTTATTGTGTGTACTTATTTCAGATTATCCTATAGACAGGTTGCAAATTATTTTTCATTTACGCTAAGACAGTCCATTATGTTCAGAAAATAAAAATGTATTTCAGTGTCATTTTCATCTACCAATAATTCCTAAAAAAAGACACTACAAACCTAAGCGTACAAAATGCAGACATATATTTATCACAATTTTGTTTATTTTTAAGAACTTAATTTTTGTTTTTCTCTTAATGTTCTGCTCTTTACTTACTTTACTTACTTACGTGGATACAAAGTAATGAAATTATATGCATGGTTATAAATCATTTATTTTTTGTACACAATGAACACAAAACCCTCCTCTCCGCCTTTTTCATATATAATGTAAATCAAATACGGAAAACCATGTGCTTATGATCCATTTCCATGCGATTTAAATGTCTCCACCCCTTGCTGCCACCTTAAAATCGAAAGCGGTCCAGTTCAATTTTCCGGAATTTATGGCTTAAACATGCGTTGTATGTAATTATAGAAATATGCATGACGAAAAATTCTAGAAATAAATATCAAAAACATGTGCTTGCACATTAATCATAGATTAATTTAGCGATATATTGTAATGTTAAGCTTAAAATGGGTAGCCGAAAAGGTTCCAAATAACGTCCTTAAGTGCAGTCATTCTTTTCTTTGTGTTGCTCTTATAAAAAAAAAATTGGATCTCTAAAGATCTTAATTGAAAATATCTGAAGAAAAATCCGAGTTTATAAAGTAAGAGTTAACCATATCTCCGTGCAAGTTTCATTTTAAAACGAAAGTAGAATTTTCTCATGTTTCAACTTTCATTGTTTGCACGTTTGTCCAGTTTGAGGGGTTTTGATCCCGGGTTGTTTTGATATTTTGATATTTACAATATGCCATCAAATGCTACAAAAAGGTTGTATATTCAAAATCCAGAACCCATAACCGAGGTAAGACGGACTAGATACATTAAAGCTGACATGAACTCTTAAAAAGGCATCAGTTTTCATCTTTGTACGACTTACTACATTCCTGAACGCCCTTGTCCGACATATTTGTTCGATTCCGCCATATTTAATCGAAGATTTTTGGCCACCTGTACCTGCTATATAAAGCCCTGCAGAACTGTTTCACTTGAGTGATTTTCTAGTTTGGCTGTCGACATGTACACATCTCCGATAGCATAGTTTTTAGAAGTCCACAAACTGACCAATACATGTTTGAAAAGTAAAAATTCAACAAAAAATAGAGCTATACCGAGATTTAAATTATTTTTGAATGCATTTGCTGCAATATAAAAAGTACACTAACATGGAATACATTTATGTACAGCAAAAATCCATGCAGGTCGAGAAAACGCGTCAAACGCAGTGATAAAACATTTACCTGAATACTGCTATCGTTACAGGGATGTGCACATGTCGAAAGAATTATCCTATTTTACTTTTATTGAAAAATGCATCTCAGAAGTCATGTAATCCATTGCTAACTCAATAATAAAAGATGCTTGGACACACGTGGCCCATGCCGATCATTTTATTTGGTCAGGGAAAATATCAAAGGTTGAAAGCTCAGTGGGGTTGAAATTTTTTTTGCAAAAAATAAACATTACTCTTGTTTGTAAATGTAGTAAATAAAATTTATGATTACATGGTTTAACTTCAATAAATTTATAATAAAGCATGTATTATTACGAATCATTCACCTTTTGAAGATATTTTCCTGTGATAGGAAGGGGGGGGGGTAATAAAACATGCATATTAATACTCTCATAAAAATAATTTAAGAAAAACGTCTGAAACAGATTAATTCTATCAAATAAATACTATGTATAGGCTTTATTAGAACTAATATAATTTGATACAAAGTTATCTATAATTTTATGCACAATGGAAGAAAAAAAGTGAGCAAGTTCACATACCCCACGCTTCCCCAAAAGTCAACGTGCTGAAATTCCCAGAAAAAATAAAGGAATCGCAATTTCCATGTATTATGCTCATCTATACACATTGTGTCCTATAAATACGTGCAAAGTTTGACGAAATTGTGTGCAGCGGTTTATGAGGAATTGCGCTAACAAACTGTTCATCTCTATTTTCAAGATATGGCCAAAATCTAAATGTGAAAGTGCGGAAATTCCCGAAAAAATAAAGAATTCGGAATTTTCTGGTGATGTGCAAATCTACACACACATTGTCTCCTATAAATATCTGCAAAATTGGACAAAACTCTGTGCAGAGGTGTATGAGAAGTTGCGCTGACCAAAAAAAAGAAAAAAAGACTGACTGACGGGTCAAAAACATTATACCTCATGCACGCAACTTATTCCGAGGAGTGTAATAAACGAGTTTGATTCTGTGGTGCAATGATAATGAAAATAGAATTTAATGTGAATTAAATTTCTAGACATAAATAATTAATGATTATTAGAAAAAGCATATAGGTAGAGAGAGCAAACTCCCCATGAGAATTCCACATTCTACCTACAATTAGCTTTTTTAAAAATTCTCTTGTTTGTTGTCCAGGTCCAGGTTCGACACATACGTTTGAGACGGTAATTGAGAAAGTACCCAATGTCCCCATTCCTGTGATGTATATTTCACGTTTGTTATATCCCCCGCTTGAAAAGTGGGAGGGTATATAGTAATCGTTATGTTCGTCCGTCTGTCCGTGCGTCTGTCTCTTACGCTTTGGGGGTACCAATCTCTTATCCGCAAATCGTCTTGTACCACTTAATGAAATTTAATGAAACTTTCACAGAATCTAAGGTTTATTACATATTACTATTGTGCAACTCCTATTTTACTTTTCAGGGGTGTAGCTCCTATTTTACTTTTCAGGGGTGTAGCAACAGGGGGGGGGGGGGGGCTGCCCCCCACTTTTTTTCCTCACCTAACTTATACTATAGGAAATGTTAATTGAAGGTTTTGGGGTTTTTTGGGGTTTTTTGTTTTTTGCTTGTCAACTTTTTCAGGTAATTAAAAAGAATTCTCTGACTGGCCACCACTTTTAAATACGATGCTACGTGCCTGCTTTTTGATTCGACACATATTTTGGGTTTAGCGACAACAGCAAAATATGGACTGCCATTACATGTATAACCACATGGGAGGCGGGGTATCCTTTAGTGAGCTCATTGCTCACAATACCTCTAGTTTCTCTTTCAATTTGGGCGTTTGGGTTAATTTCTTGTCCAAATTAAAATTATTATTCAATTTACGAAGTTTCGACATCCCGTCTGAGAAAAATCCTTGATCAGTTTTAAGGCTTAATAAATGGTACAGCATAAAGTGTGTGGGATTTTATACCTATTATTGCCCTAACGGATGGGAGAGGGAGAAAGAGAGAGTTCAATATACAAAAGAGTTAATAAAAATTATCCGTATTCAACCAGTGTCAAGTATCCCTACTCTAGCTCTTAAAATTATCTCTCAAATACTCCTAAAGAAATTATTCTTATACAAAAAAATAGCTAGACTATCAGGCAGGGATACTGAAATCTCGAAAGACTCTCTGTAACAACACAAATCAGTTACATTCCTCAAAATGCACTTACTTTGTGGTCGAAGTGACACATTTTTCAAAAAATCTCAAAATTGAATTCGGCAGAAATGTCTGTCTTCCAAGAATATTTAAATAACGGTCATGTCAATTATTTTTGCATGACCCCCTCCCCCCCGCGCCTAAAAAAAAATCAAATGCCTAAATGTCAATCTGAACAGGGGATGGCCTTTCTCCGTGTTTGTGTGTGTATTAATGAACGTATAGATGTACACATAAAAATTTGTATTCTGGTGAATTGCTTTTAAGATTTGAAGTAAATAATTACCGTGCCTCAAATTACTTGGTTTAGATTTGAGATTAGTACTAAAATAATCAGTTATAATTGACAAATGAATTTTGCGACGCAAACCAACTGCAGACTATATACATGACTTTGTATAGAATGTATATTAAAAGTACATGTAGATAGACAATTCACAATTATAGCTTATGAACAGCAGTTATAATACTTAACCCCCCCCCTTTTCAGCAGCGCAAATCCCAAATAACTTCTCTTTCCACTTGTGATATTTTCCCTGATCAAAATGTGATCAGCACGGACTAAGTGTATCGACGTGCTAGTCTGTACGGAGTAATGACAGTGTGTTTACTATTGAGCTTTTATGGAGTTTATTTCTTTTTTGTGATGCATATTTCAATAAATGGGATTCAGGGTGTATATCACTTGACTTGTGCACATCTTTGAACCGATGCAGTAACCTTATTTCCAGGTATGGGTACGTTTACAGCGTTCGAGGCGTTTTCTCGATATGCATCAATTGCATCTTTAGGACCTGCAAATCAAAGACGTAGGTTGTTTTGTTCCATTCAAATGATATAATTTCAAAATGTGTTTGCAAATTATACTGCTTTTTATTTCAAGCTTATTCTGCATAAATTGGCGCACTGTAAAATACGTACTCATGCATCTAAATTTCTCTTCCAAACTTGCATTTTTTCCTTCTGATTCAAATCAATAATTATTCAGAAATATGATTATTATGTTGTTTGTTGTGGTTTTGAAATGTCTTGATCACCTCATGTGTTCTCATATGCTTTACCATCGGAGATGTGCACAAGTCGATACCCAAGCCACAAAATCATTCAAGTGTAACGACCGCATTGGGGTATATATCGTTACAATGAGACAATGTATCTGAAAGAAATATGGCGGAATACGGCTATAGTTGGTATGAAACAAGTCGTACATAGTTGAAAATGTTGCGTTTTTAAGAATTCATGTCAGCTTTAAAATCCTTAGAATCTCTGTACAGTCCCAAGGGGCTCGTCACGACTTACATGTCTTCTGTAAATTGGACCACCCCTATACAGTGAAATACACTTTAATATAGTAAAGGGGTGGTCAAATAAATAGAAGACAGATTAAATAAGTCGTGTCAATCCACTGTGTACAGACTGTTCTAAATGTTCTTGAACAGGTCCATGAAAATCACTATATTTAGCTATATAGCTTAGTTCACCTATATAGCTTTATTTAACAATATAATATAGCTTTATTTAGCTATTCCAGAGTAAATTTTTGTTTTATGAAAAGCAGACAAAAAGTCACATGTAAATTATGGCTGGTATTTTTTAAACAGGTTGGGCACACACCCCCAAATAGTCATTTAACCCCCGTTTGGTGGTTAATCGCCCATATCGGCGTCTTTTTTACCTACCAAATGGTGGTCTTTTTTATTCAAATCCAATTTTTATTAAAATAAAGCAAAAGCGCATTTACTCAGGCATTGGGGAATTTTAATTAACATATTCCTCGCCCATTTAATACAATTTAGTCAATTTTCCATGTGGATTTTCTTTGCAACTTCGTAAAAACGAAACCCATAGTTGTTCGTGACGGCCGAACTATTTGATCATTAATACGAAAAATTATTTTGTTGTGTATAGTTCGGTAAAAAATATATTTAAACAAGAAATGTTAGTCTAGAGAAGTAACTTTATAAATGATCTTTCAATCTGCGTCTATATAAACCTCTGTAAAATCCCGTTAAACACGAGCTCCTCGTATCTTATTCGTATGGTGGGCACTTATTGCTATAATATTCATTTTTTCCTACATTTGAATGTAACAGTTATTCTTTATTTTTTTTAGGACGAAGTTACGATTTCTGTGCGATCCTTTGTGGTTTAGTATGCATATCTATGATGTACCTACTATATTTATTAAATATTTTTGAATAAAAAATTAACAAAGTGACATTTTGCAATTATTCTTGTTTTTATTCCAAGATTATAGTTTTGGAGCGATTATTTTATCATGCATTCACTGCATATAGTATTTTTGTAAAAGATAAAGCCATTGCATACGAAATAAACGAAATGAAAGCGAATTCTTACCCTTCCGCTAATTTTACTTGTTGAAAATTTTCACTAATGGGCCTCCGTAGTTAAATCAGTCTTTCGACCCAAGTTCGGAAAAGATCGCCATTTTTAATTGGTTAAGATAATTGATCAGTTACCTGTATGACAGAAATATGAAGTGATAAACACGATTAATAGGCTCAACTACGCGCGAGATGGAGGGAATTTTTCTTTTTAAGTTAAAACACAGAAACTTTACACTTGCTTACATAGGTGACGATTTTGTCAAATATTTGAACAACACTGCGCAAAAAATCCCGTGTTGAAATTCTGATTTTTTTTGTTCAAAGTTTAGAAAAATATCTATATTTTATTCCCCGTGAGTTGAAATTATGCGCCATTTCACTTCATTCCAGAGAACTGAACAAAACGATTTTTCTCTCCCATTTGGTGGTTTATAAAGACGCCGATATGGGCGATTGACCACCAAACGGGGGTTAAATGACCATTTGGGGGTGTGTGCCCAACCTGTTAAAAGGTTTGATAAAAACAACCTAGGGCATAGATAGTAAAAACATTGCCTCTATTATAGTCTGTCCCACCAAGTTACTGTAAGCACTTTTCGCATAATATCTCAAAATATATAAATACCTTGGCCTTCAAACCAGTTCCGATCGATAGATCATTTTTTTTCCAACCTTCCTCCGTTTATCCGAACCCTCGAGGTCAACCAGTGTAAACACACGGCGGCAAATTCAAAGTCTACGGGGATTTAACATTGTCAAAATGGCCACCACTTCGGAAGGGGATCATCCGTTGTTCGTAATTGTCCGTACATTGCCGTCTGTAAGGACATGACGTCACACACGTTCGGGATTGCTCTATTGTTATCGACGTCCGAAAAACCTATAACGCCCAAGACTGCCAAGCATATATTTATACTATAAGAAATATTACGTCTTCAACAAAACAACAAAACTTTCCTAGCCTACCCAGACTGAGACCGATGGGATCAAAGATTCATAAAAGAGTTATACACTGCATAAAGCAGCTGCAAAGAGGTATGACTCATATATATTCATACATAACATCAAGGCTAGGCTACTGCAAATTTACCTTGAATGAAATTGCTGCTTTTACACGTAGAGATCAATCGAAGAAATATCAATAGTATCAAGATTTTTAAAAGTTATAATTGCTGCCTTACCTTAATGTTTCGCCTTAGCTTTCCATATAAATCCAACTCCTAATAGTTTGTTGTAAACTGTAACACACGGTCAAAATGAGCATCATGATCATATCGTTTCTGTGTAAACAAGTGATGTCCTTATATGCACATGCTACAGTATATTTCATGACTTTGTTATATTTCCAACGCTTTAAACACATAAATCTTTCGTTGATATTTTATTTTGAACCTCAGTGCAAAACAACATTTGTTGTCTGCATCAAACTACGTCACCAATGAATTTTGACCTTGCCCTTCCAAAACTTCCTGTAATATCGGTGTTAGGTAAATTCAGACCCAGGATATACAATTTTTGTTTCCCATAAATATGACAGAATACCAAAATTTTAATACTTATTCATATACACAAAAAATTAAAGTATGTATATATTAAGGCCAAAAAATAATAGTCTTGTTCCCTGCTACCAGCCTGAAAAAAAAAATAGGGCAAGTACAGGTAGGAAAAATATTTTATTTTTTAATTTAATTTTTTCTAAACTGTATTTTTTGGATATGAACCCAAATTAAACATCAAAAGTATATCTTTTGAAATTAAAATCAATGTCTTTTGATGCATAACTCAATATCAGTATTGTATGAAAGTCCATATTTAAAACATATATTTCATGAAATACCACTTGAATATATATATTTTTTTCACTTTTGAAACATGAAATTTATGAAATTCCAGATTTTCCCCCAAAATTAAGGAAAAAACTTCAGAGTCGGGTGCAAAAAATAGGATAGGTCAGGTAGCAGGAAACGAGACCTTTTTTTTGGCCTTTAAACGCAAGGGTAAAGGATAAATTTTTTTTTCTCTTTATAAAACTATTTAACAGAAAACGTTTTATGAGTTTTCAGAACAAAAATTTCATTGTAGGATACTAAATAGCTGCCTGGTGAAGACACAAGATAGAAAAGGACAAACATACATATATGTGTACATTACATACATTAAGCCATAAGTATACCTGCAGATATATTGTAAGTATGAAAAAATGCAAATGTCTTGAGTTTGATTTTCAGTCCTAGCAAAATTTTTTTCCTTATGCATTTGTAACTTTTAAGTATGTTTATTCATTTTTCATTGACAATTCCCTAGTACGCAAACATGTATATATGCCTATATCATATTCCTATAGTATAATAGTAGTGTATCAGTCCAGCCCTGATCGTGATACAGACGTTTCGGACTCGGTGAGACTGGTAGAACCTGGTGAGTAGGGCTGTCTCGCCCTCCTGGCTGAGATATGTCTGTCTCGGTCCATTGTCAAGGAGCTGTCTCGCCCTTTAATTTCAAATCATTATTTCTGTTTAATTTGTGTGAATCAAAAATAAAATTAAATTAAAGAGTTATCCTTCCTGGCTGAGGATCCAAGTATCTTTACAGATTTTTAATAAGTTTTGTAAAATTAAAAAATTGCTTCAAACATAAAACACTTTTAGATTACAGGATAAACCAGTTTGTTTGAACCGTTTTCATTGTTTTATTAAGTAAAATTTAAAAATATTTTAAAAGATAAATGAATTGTTTGTCCTATATTTAAGGATATCAGATCAAATTCAGAAGAATAAATGTTTATAAATGTCAAGCGTCCACTGATGCTGGAGAGTCCATGCTGTAGAAAAGACATGAAACAGAAGTGAGAAAATGTCAACATCAGTCATCTATGAATGAAGATGGAGATCAAGTCTATATTCTAAAATTTCTGAGGAAAATGGTGTTGTCTGGCTCATCCAATGATCACTCCATCTGCAGACTACCAGGTAATGATAAATCTTTGGTTTTGTCAATACTTTGTGCCTGAAAAAAATAATGATAAAACATTTTAATTTGTCATAAAGATTCAGTGCATAAAAAATATACTTTTAAATTTGTGCAAAGTGAAATTTAAAGATACATGCTCATCATATTACATGTAACATGAATTGTTTATTTATTTAAAAAAATATACTTGGTCAATTCTCATTTTCAGGTTCCAATCTGAAGTATACATTGGAAGAGCAAACTCTTTTTCATTCATATAAACACTTACTAGCTGTGATCCAGAAGAATGTCATGATTGTTTTGTCCAACATAAGATGAATTTCAATCCGACACATTATTCTGAAAAATTGAGTGAATGGTCTTCTTCATGCAGGCATGTCTTTGTTACAATATCTTGACTCTGCATGGTCATCATAACTTCAGACTCTTGTAAATTATGTAACCTATAAAAACATCATATTGTTACAGTAAGTAATAAATGTAAAATTAAATATTCTATGCTTCAGTTATTATTACATTTTTTTAGCAATGTTTGTTTATTCTTTTAAATGGTGAGGTTGTGCAGTATTTAAGTACTGAAGTTAATATTTTCTCAAATTTTCTGTAAAATATCACAATTATTAAATATTGAAATAGCATTTCACACGAAAATGTTACAAGAGGCCCATGAGCCACATCGCTTACCTGAATATCTTTGACCATGCAGTTCTTTACCAAATTTCCCCCTTGTTATACCTTTTGTGACCCCATCCTACCCCCGGGGTCATAATTTGGACAATTTAAAATCTACACTACTCCACAGTGATTTCGCATAAGGCCAAATAAAAAATGACGAATAATGACCGCTACAGGATAATGACCGGGGGTTTGATTTTCATAACTATAGGCACCCACCTATGTTGACTAGTATACATGTATATCATGCCCCATCTTAATGCTACCTGCATTGCAGTGATAGGTATATTATGAAGAAACATTTAAAATATCATTTTGTAAAAAAAAAAAAAAAAAAAAAAAAATCCCCTACCTACCTAACCTAACTTTTTTTATGGTGTAACCAGAACCTCACCTATTTTTTTTATTTGGCCTAAGTTTCAGCTTTGCTTGCCAAGTAATTCCCAAGAAGATTTTTTTAATAGATTTTTCTTTTATATTTCAACATGTTCAATGTAAAACTTTGGTTCCCTATTGTGGCCCCACCCTACCCCAGGGGTCATAATTTGAAAAATGTAGAATCTACACTACCCCAGGATGCTTCTGGAGGTTTCACAGCTTTTCTGGCCCAGTGGTTCTTGAGAAGAAGATTAAAGATGCTGAGGGAAAAATATACACTTGAAAGATTAGAGGGAAAATTGTAACATGTATAGACATCAGGTGCTCAGAGCTTCAAAAATTCATTCCCAATACATGTATTTAAAAGAGACAGGATATTTTGAAGATTTTGAATATTATACTAGTAAACTTACTGCTTTTGATATGCATATCATCTTTGCTTTAGCCAAAGGTTTCTGGTCTGCTTCTTTCTTTATACTGCAGTGGCTAAATCAAGCTAAATATTGCTGAAAGTAAAGAAAGTGTCATAAAAGTGTATAACAGTACATCAATTTCATCATAAACTAAAGTGTTCCAAGGAACACGTGTCACTTTTAGCTTCTTTAAAGATGTACCTAATATTAAATCTAAGAGTGGTCAGCTATTTTTATCCTACTAGAATAAACAGTATGCAACCCTCAACTGAATAATTAAGTTGAAATCATAAGTAATTATTTATTATTTTACATGTGATAAAATGCGTTTCATAGCAATTGTCACATTGCATGATCCACTTTGTGGGATCCAATTCTGATTTATTTTCATAATATTTAAGCACAGGCCTTAAGATCACTTAGAAAAAAATTGAGGTGTAAAAAGAAATATTTCTTTTACACACATAATTTTTTTTAGCGATCCAAAGGCCTGTGTATTTAAGATATCAGTTTGTGTGGTTTACTGAATACCATACAGTTTCAAAGAACAGTACATGTATAATGAGCTCATAAACATGTACCCGTATAAATTTAAATTATCCACACCTGTCACTTAAAGTCTTAAGTTAATTTAAATTATCTGGGGTATTCTTTGTAAAGTAGGTCAAAGCTGAAAGGTCAAGTCAACCAAGCTATACAAATACAGTACTAGTAAATAAGGACAACAAATTAAAAAAAAATTATTTGATGTACTCAGACTGATTGACCCATCATAACATTGCCCCAACCCAAACATTTTTTCAGCACTTTGAATTTTTGATTTTTTTTTTAAATTTTGTTTCATTTATTAGAAATAGAGGCCATCCATTTTAAAACTGTGGTATAAGATTTCTCTTGGATGCTTTAAGATTCAAAATTTTTTAACGATAAATATTTCATCTGTCGAGTTATCCAGTGTATTGAAAAAATTAATAAATTTCTGAGTCTGTAATTTTTTAATGACACTTTAATATCAATTTGATCAATACAGCTATTAAGCCAAAAAAGATACCTACCTACCCACCTTGAAAAAAGTGTGTCAGAGTACATCAAACATAAATACATGTATTTTTATTATGGCCTACGGTTTTTAAAAACAAATACTTAAAGCGGCATTGTGATGCACAAAGGGGAAAATTGACAAATGTAGAATTTTTGCATGACGCTTATTAATTTTGTTCAATTCCTACAAGTATTGGGTTTCAGAGAATTACGGGTTTCAGAACCTAAAAATTCTATTTTTAAGGAGAAAAATAAAAGTAAAAATAATTTTTGTATGCCCCAGACGGAAAATATTGCTCAATACTTCTTCCACCCCATTGTACGTGTGCGCAGAAAAGTTGAATAAGTTTCCATAGTTACCATGGTACCCAGGAATGAATGTAAGTAGACCAAAATTTCACAGGCAATCTTTTAAAACGTTAGAACATAGGTCACATTTCTCACCTTTGCATGCTCCAGTTAAATATTGTTTACAAGTTTGAGCTAAAAATAAAAGTGGCGTGACCTTGACAAACACGAAAACAACAAAACTGTATTTTCTGGCACTTATATCATACAGTTTTTCGTTGCAGTTTAATTGTCATATCTTAGCTATATACTAATAATTTTCATACATGTAAGTCTTTCTCTGTATGCTACAGATATCTTAAAAGATCGAAAGACATGATTTCGACTCATTGTGTCCTTTTAAAAAGAAAATCTTCTAGGAATTAAGGAAACAGAAATTTTCAAATTAAGTTCACATTTGAGCAGTATAGGACTTTACAGAAAAAACGATGCTGTTGTGCCACTATAAACTGCATTGGTCTTGCCCTAGCTCTCCCAAGTCAGGATTAGGTTGGTAGGTAGATGAGAAAATTATTCTCAGAAAAATTAATTATAATTAAATTTTAATAAATAAATTTATTCTCCAGAATACAAAAAAAAAATTAATTGCTTCCTAGAGATTTAAAATAAAGTTTTGAGTCATTTTAGCCAGTTGGTTGGAACAGGGCAATCAAACATTTTTTTAAAGATGTTATTTATTTGCAAAATGCATGAAATGTTATAAATTGAAAATGAAAGTAGAAATGAAATTTAAAAACTTTAGTCAAAATGTTAACCAGCTGTTTTATTTTTGGTATTATTTCACCTAATTTTTTAAACCATATTCTTGTTCTTTTATAATCATAGAAACACCCCTTTACATTTTTCACACATGAGCTTACATACAGACCGTTAGAGAGCACTAACGGTTACCCATGAGCACTAACCAGATGGCTGAAATTGATGTATCGTCACTATCTAATGTCAGCAATATCACGCGTTTTGAAATATATATATTGTTAGCATTTGTAGACACTTCTTTCATGTGTGTATATAAGCTAGTAAAACAACAACAGCTGCAAAAATACCATAGAATAAATAAACAACTTACGTTTTAAACACTGGCGAGCTTGCATCATCATGTCAACATCCATTATCCACAAGTTGTACTTCGTTAGATTCGGACTATTTTCTCGCAGTTCATTATTAAATTTGTTAAATGCTGTTAAAATTTATTTTAATTCAAAGTAAAAGTTATATTATCAATAAAAGCAATTTAAATTAATTCCTTTAATTTTTAACGATTTTTTGGAAATTTACTTTGCAAAGAACGACTACTCCCTTCGAAAACTGGTTCCCGGCCCCGTATTCTAGACGCTAATGGACGAGTTTACCATGTTAAATCCCCGTAGACTTTGAATTTGCCGCCGTGTGTTTACACTGGTTGACCTCGAGGGTTCGGATAAACGGAGGAAGGTTGAAAAAAAAATGATCTATCGATCGGAAGCGGGTTGAAGGCCAAGGTATTTATATATTTTGAGATATTATGCGAAAAGTGCTTACAGTAACTTGGTGGGACAGAGTTTAATAACTTTTTAACCAAAAAAATGCATCTCTATTGTTTGGATAGCTAAAGTGCGGTGAGACATGACCAAGTGTGATTGCCTTGCATTGTGCTCAGTTATTACCAATCAATTATCTTGTTGACCAAAACTGCTTTTCATTGTTAAAGTAACTGCTTACTCACAGATTAACTGTTATACATAGCCCCAAAGCTCTTATATCTTTGATTGCAATTGCACAAAAGGAGAAACATTTTTATAAGTGGGTTTTTGGTTCAGTCCATTGCAAAGTTGAAAACTGATATTGCCTCATTTTGTGACTTTTTGTCTGCTTTAAGTGCTTTTCATAAAACAGAAATTTACTCTGAAATAGCTAAATAAAGCTAGCGCTATATTATATAGGTAAATAAAGCTATATAAGTAGATTTAGCTATATAGCTAAATATAGTGATTTTCCTGGACCTGTTGAATTTATCCACTTTCCAGCTTTGATCTTTCAGCTAGTTTTCACTCCCTAATTCTAGACACATGATTCTGTAATTTATTATTTGTATATTTTATCCACCTCCCAAGTTCCAACCCTTTATAGTCGTCTCATTGGAGGTAAACTCCCATGATTAGAATTATTTGTTGGATTGCTGAAAATTCACTTCAACAGTTCCAGTCCATTGACTATTTCCACTTACTTAGCTATTAATAGCTACATGTACGTGGGTATTTTTTCCTACCCAAAGTAGCTATTTTTACCTACTTTTTGTATTATCTACATTTTGTGGCCAAAAGACTGAACGGCGCAACATGGTGAATACATGTGTGTACACCATATTTTTTGATACTGTCACACTGTTGATGAATACGATAAAATTTTGGCCAATAAATGATTACTTCCTGAAGTGGCAATTTTACATTAGTTTCTATGCAAAATTGATTATATACCAAGTAATAATTTTTTGGTCAAATTTTTGTCATATCCATCATCAGTGTGACTGTATCAAGAAATTCAGTGCTCACCATGTTGCACTGTTCCTGCATTTGGCCACAAAATGCGAGTAAAGCAGAAAGTAGGTAAAAATAGCTAGTACTTTGGGTAGGTTTTTATAGCTAAGTAGGTAGAAATAGTCTTTGGACTGGACCTGTACAAGCAAGTTTATCTCCAAAAGACAACTATAAAGGGTTGGGAGGTGGATAAAATATACAACTTTATGTTACAGATGTGTCCTGAATTAGGGAGTGAATGGTAGTTTATTGACTATGCTGAAAAGTGGAGAAGTTATCCTCAGAAGTGTGCAAAAATGTGACATTGGGTAACAATTGAAAATTGGGATCAATTATACTTTAAAGTAACAGTCATCATCTCTATGTGGTGTTACGACAATAAACGTTGTATACTTCTTCATGAAAGAAAATCCTAAGTGTTAAAAACATTTTTTGAGTTCTAATTAAAGTAGGCGGCGAATTTGCAACAAGTAGGGGGTGAGAAATCGCTGGGTGTCAGCTCTTGAGAACTCTGCCTTTTTAGCATTAAGGGATCTGTAGCCACTGTGTTATGGTCAAACACCATATACATATATAAAACCATAGTTCACAGTTCTACAGCTACAGTACCAACATTGTTATTCTTTACATTTTTATAATGTCCTATCATGCTTGTATCCTATCATGCGTGTATTCTATCGTATCATGCGTGTATCCTATCGTATCCTGTATCCTGTCAAGAATAACAATACTGGTACTGTTAGACTGTTCCTAACTAGATCCAGAGACACAAAGGCATTGAAAGTCAATGTAAATTATATTTAGTAAATGTGTGAATAAGAAACGACCCTTTTATACACGTACTTACTCAATATTTACTTAAACTTTCAGTGCCAGTCAGAGACAAGATATCTAAAATGAATCTCTTACATCAATTATTTACATATCAGAATATTTTAAATGATTTTTCCAAGCCATAGTAAGACATTTCATTGGAGTTAAATTTTTCTTTACTGGATTGTCAACATGGAAACGTTACATGTATGTTTAGGATTTGGTTTAAATATTTAGGATTATGAAGTTAACCTGTAAATTTTATATGTATTACTTAAATCAGGTACTGTAAACCAACTTTTATTCGTATGCAAGAAATATCCGCTAGTTTCGTGACTTTCTTTAACTCGCGAATAATAATCGCTGCGAACCATCCATTTTTCTTATTAATAAGTATTTATAGAGAACATTGCCTCAAAGACGAAAATTAATTGTTGCGGATTGATTTCAAATTGATGAATCTCGAATAAAAGATCACGTAAATAATAGTTGGATTACAGTAGTCTGTAAATTTTTAACAGTGCTTGCTTTGTTGTATTACATTAGCCCGTTCAGACCTCCACTATTGTCATCATTCACCCAGGTTCTTTGAACCTGCGGATTGGTCGAGAGCCTCCGACCCCCTGCCAGTGACCATCCCCCAGTGTATAGCCAGGAAGAGAATCTCACAGACCAGGACCTCCGGCTCCCTCATACTCAGACCGGAATGTGTTGTAAGTAGCTCTGTCACATAAAGTGATTTTAATCGATTTTGGTTCTTTCCTTCTGGTTAGGCCATAGTTTTTACATTTTTCAGTTTACAGATCCACCGACCAATTTTTTCAGGTTTTAGAAAATAAATATTGGTAGACATAAGGTCATGCTAATAAAAGGAAATAGGCAACATTGTAGGGTTTCACTAAAATAAGTTGAGATAATCTGTTACTTGATAATTAATAAAATATAGTTTACAAGATTATGAATTATTTCTGTTTGAAAGAAGTTTCAAATTATTTTTATTTTGTCACCACCCAATGGACATTTTGGTTGAAAGAATCCGTAAACCTAAAGATAAAATAACTTTGGCCTGATGTTAAAATACTTGATCATGCATGCATTTTCATTACTGCTTGTCATAGATGTATAAACTTCTATTTTAAATCAAGTTGCATGTATAACTGAAATGATTTTAATTGAAAATACTGCTCAATATCTGTATATATGGAAAGTCCTCATTTCAACACAAGTCTTTTATATCCATATTAACAGCATTCCGAGGCCAAGCCGCAGTTCAAGGTTGGACTAAAACAGGCAGAGGAGGCTGTGGGGGCCAGACCGATGTCTACAGGAGAATACAGACAGACCTCATCAGTTAAACAGGTACGTGTATTCACTGACTTAACTCTAGCCAAAGGAAAAGCATTAGATGTATGCATGCACATGATCTGATTCAGTACATGTTCTACTTAGACAAGAAGAAAAGTATTTTAGTTAATGGTTTCCTGACCACACGAAATTTTTTTATTTCTTGAATTTCTTACACTGTAGTTATATAATTATAACCATGGAGTCAAAGGTCAAAGGACGGAGGTCATATGTCAACAGATGTGGACAAGGACTGAAAGTCAGCCTTCCTTCATTGTGGGTCAAGAGGTCAGAGTTCATAGCTGTTTTCACTTCCGTAGTTACCTCAATTAATAAAGCTATCTGACAATGTATAAAAGATTTTTCAAAATGTTGCCTCTTCCATCCTTGTAAGGTACAAACCAATAATAAGATATTTCATGCCAGGACTTGACTATTAGAATCTTTTTATTAGGCCATGTATGTGAACCCAGCACACAATTACAATCTACACTGGCCAATGCGGCGGGGGAGGCTAAACATTCATGATGGTCCAGGAGGCACCCTGACAGCCGTACTGGCAGATATAGAGGCCATCTGGGCCACAGCCCTACAGAAACACTTAGATATACCACTCAAAGACCTCAAGGTAAAACTTTAAAAAACAACAGAAACATCTACAAATACCACTCAAAGAACTCAAGGTAAAACTTAACTACAGTAACATCTAGATTTACCACTCAAATACCTCAAGGTAAAACTTAACTACAGTAACATCTAGATATACCACTCAAAGATCTCAAGATAAAACTACAAAAACACCTAGATATACCACTCAAAGACCTCAAGGTAAAAATTAAAAGATCTCAAGGTGAAACTACAAAAACACCTAGATATACCACTCAAAGATCTCAAGGTAAAACTACAAAAACACCTAGATATACCACTCAAAGACCTCAAGGTAAAAATTAAAAGATCTCAAGGTGAAACTACAAAAACACCTAGATATACCACTCAAAGACCTCAAGGTAAAACTACAAAAACACCTAGATATACCACTCAAAGACCTCAAGGTAAAATTTAACTACAGAAACATCTAGATATACCACTCAGAGACCTCAAGATAAAACTTAACTAAAGACACATCTAGATATACTACTCAAAAGGAAAATCTAGATATACCATTCAACAGAAACATTTAGATATACCACTCAACAGAAACATCTAGATATACCACTCAACAGACACATCTAGATATACCACTCAACAGAAACATCTAGATATACCACTCAACAGACACATCTAGATATACCACTCAACAGAAACATCTAGATATACCACTCAACAGAAACATCTAGATATACCACTCAACAGACACATCTAGATATACCACTCAACAGAAACATCTAGATATACCACTCAATAGACACATCTGGATATACCACTCAATAGACACAATCCTAGATATACCACTCAACAGAAACATCTAAATATACCACTCAACAGACACATCTAAATATACCACTCAATAGACACACCTAGATATACCACTCAATAGACACATCTAGATATACCACTCAACAGACACATCTAAATATACCACTCAATAGACACACCTAGATATACCACTCAATAGACACAATCCTAGATATACCACTCAAAGTTCACTTGGTCAATCTTTAACATCCTGTTGCTACAAAAATGTCTAGATTGCTTGATTGTATGTTGTTTCATATGGTTGATGTCCAAATGTATAAAGCCATGTTGTTGATTTCTGATGTTGATTTTTGAGATGTAAAGCCATGTTGTTGATTCCTGATGTTTATATTTCAGATGTATCAAGCCATGCTGTTGAAACCTGTTTGTGTTTCTGATTTATAACACCATGCTTGATGTTGATTTCTGATGTTGATTTTCAGATGTATAGAACCATGCTGTTGATTCCTGATGTTGATTTATAAAGACATGCTGCTGATTTTTGATGTTATCATGTTGATGTCTTAGATGTATAAGTCCATGTTGATTCCTGATGTTGATTTCAGATGTATAAGGCCATGTTGTTGATTTCTTATGTTGATTTTTGATGTTGATATTTCAGATGTATAAGGCCATGCTGTTAATTCCTGACGTATTCAGTCACAGACACACTAAGCACTTGATGACCCTGTTGTTGGACAGACTGGGGTTTGGCAGCGCCATCCTCCACCAGGTTAGTAAAAGTCACCAACCACTGCATGTACAATACTGTAATATTGAAAACTAACCACTGAATGTACAACACTGCAATATTGTAAACTTACTCTTATACACTTTTGAGAAATATCAGCAAATCCAGCTTTCTGATATGTATGACTGGGAAAAGCTACAGGCATGTTACATAAATCTGTTTATCTCCTAGGAATCGGTATGTGCGACCTTTGGGTCAGGGGTCAGCAGTGCTTGTGTGGTAGACATTGGAGATCAGAAAACCAGTGTATGTTGTGTAGAAGACGGAATATCTCACAGGAACACAAGGTAGGGAACCAGTAAAGAGAACCAATGTGTGTTGTGTAGAAGACAGAATATCTCACAGAATTACAAGGTAGGGAACCAGTAAAGAGAACCAGTGTGTGTTTTGTAGAAGACGGAATATCTCACAGGAACACAAGGTAGGGAACCAGTAAAGAGAACTAGTGTGTGTTGTGTAGAAGATGTAATATCTCACACAATTACAAGGTAGGGAACCAGTAAAGAGAACCAATGTGTGTTTTGTAGAAGACGGAATATCTCACAGGAACACAAGGTAGGGAACCAGTAAAGAGAACTAGTGTGTGTTGTGTAGAAGATGTAATATCTCACACAATTACAAGGTAGGGAACCAGTAAAGAGAACCAATGTGTGTTGTGTAGAAGACGGAATATCTCACACAATTACAAGGTAGGGAACCAGTAAAGAGAACCAGGGTGTGTCGTGTAGAAGACGGAATATCTCACAGAATTACAAGGTAGGGAACCAGTAAAGAGAACCAATGTGTGTTGTGTAGAAGACGGAATATCTCACAGAATTACAAGGTAGGGAACCAGTAAAGAGAACCAGCGTGTGTTGTGTAGAAGACGGAATATCTCACAGAATTACAAGGTAGGGAACCAGTAAAGAGAACCAGTGTGTGTTGTGTAGAAGACGGAATATCTCACAGAATTACAAGGTATGGAACCAGTAAAGAGAACCAGTTTGTGTCGTGTAGAAGACGGAATATCTCACAGAAAAACAAGGTAGGGAACCAGTAAAGAGAACCAATGTGTGTTGTGTAGAAGATGGAATAACTCACAGGAACACAAGGTAGGGAACCAGTAAAGAGACCCAGTGTGTGTTGTGTAGAAGACGGAATATCTCACAGAATTACAAGGTAGGGAACCAGTAAAGAGAACCAGTGTGTGTTGTGTAGAAGACGGAATATCTCACAGGAACACAAGGTAGGGAACCAGTAAAGAGAACCAATGTGTGTCGTGTAGAAGACGGAATATCTCACAGAATTACAAGGTAGGGAACCAGTAAAGAGAACCAGTTTGTGTCGTGTAGAAGACGGAATATCTCACAGAATTACAAGGTAGGGAACCAGTAAAGAGAACCAGTTTGTGTCGTGTAGAAGACGGAATATCTCACAGGAACACAAGGTAGGGAACCAGTAAAGAGAACCAATGTGTGTTGTGTAGAAGATGGAATATCTCACAGGAACACAAGGTAGGGAACCAGTAAAGAGAACCAATGTGTGTTGTGTAGAAGACGGAATATCTCACAGAATTACAAGGTAGGGAACCAGTAAAGAGAACCAATGTGTGTTGTGTAGAAGATGGAATATCTCACAGAATTACAAGGTAGGGAACCAGTAAAGAGAACCAATGTGTGTTGTGTAGAAGATGGAATATCTCACAGGAACACAAGGTAGGGAACCAGTAAAGAGAACCAATGTGTGTTGTGTAGAAGACGGAATATCTCACAGAATTACAAGGTAGGGAACCAGTAAAGAGACCCAGTGTGTGTTGTGTAGAAGACGGAATATCTCACAGAATTACAAGGTAGGGAACCAGTAAAGAGAACCAGTGTGTGTTGTGTAGAAGACGGAATATCTCACAGGAACACAAGGTAGGGAACCAGTAAAGAGAACTAGTGTGTGTCGTGTAGAAGACGGAATATCTCACAGAATTACAAGGTAGGGAACCAGTAAAGAGAACCAGTTTGTGTCGTGTAGAAGACGGAATATCTCACAGAATTACAAGGTAGGGAACCAGTAAAGAGAACCAGTTTGTGTCGTGTAGAAGACGGAATATCTCACAGGAACACAAGGTAGGGAACCAGTAAAGAGAACCAATGTGTGTTGTGTAGAAGATGGAATATCTCACAGGAACACAAGGTAGGGAACCAGTAAAGAGAACCAATGTGTGTTGTGTAGAAGATGGAATATCTCACAGGAACACAAGGTAGGGAACCAGTAAAGAGAACCAATGTGTGTTGTGTAGAAGACGGAATATCTCACAGAATTACAAGGTAGGGAACCAGTAAAGAGAACCAATGTGTGTTGTGTAGAAGATGGAATATCTCACAGAATTACAAGGTAGGGAACCAGTAAAGAGAACCAATGTGTGTTGTGTAGAAGATGGAATATCTCACAGGAACACAAGGTAGGGAACCAGTAAAGAGAACCAATGTGTGTTGTGTAGAAGACGGAATATCTCACAGAATTACAAGGTAGGGAACCAGTAAAGAGACCCAGTGTGTGTTGTGTAGAAGACGGAATATCTCACAGAATTACAAGGTAGGGAACCAGTAAAGAGAACCAGTTTGTGTCGTGTAGAAGATGGAATATCTCACAGGAACACAAGGTAGGGAACCAGTAAAGAGAACCAATGTGTGTTGTGTAGAAGACGGAATATCTCACAGAATTACAAGGTAGGGAACCAGTAAAGAGAACCAATGTGTGTTGTGTAGAAGATGTAATATCTCACAGGAACACAAGGTATGGAACCAGTAAAGAGGACCAGTGTGTGTTGTGTAGAAGATGTAATATCTCACAGGAACACAAGGTATGGAACCAGTAAAGAGAACCAGTGTGTGTTGTGTAGAAGATGTAATATCTCACAGGAACACAAGGTATGGAACCAGTAAAGAGGACCAGTGTGTGTTGTGTAGAAGATGTAATATCTCACAGGAACACAAGGTAGGGAACCAGTAAAGAAATATATATATTACAGGGAAGCAGACAAACAGTATGTTAAGGGGGCCAACTATAGTTTTATTGTGTGAAAACTACTATAGCAAAACTCTTCATTTTTATATCATATATAACTTACATTAACTTCAGTGTACATGCAAAGTTTGGGGGAATCTATCGTCCAAGTATTTTTGAGGGACTGTCTCAAAATACAGGTACATTTACTATAGGATTATATAGGAAAATGCCAATTTTTAGCACTTTAAAGCAAATTATACAAATACTACAATAGACATTTTGTTCAAACTTTAATATTTGATGAGTAATACTATATTATACAATATATGTAAGAAACACAAAATTCTACCGTCTTGTTACCAGAGGGTGCATCTCAAAATGCAAAAAATTAACAAATTTTACTATTGTTATAGAGTATTACAAAATATGACATACACCATGGATTCACATGAAAACATAATAAAACTATTGGAGATATTCTCAAATTTCTATGTTTTAAATTTTCCAGAGCGTGTTTTTATTACTTTTTCTTTAAAAATATTTTTATTATCCGTTTCTTTAAGAGCTACAGATTATCATAACCTCAAAAACACACTGCACAACGTCAACCTACCTATCAATTGCAAAATTGGTTAAAAAATCAGTTATATCAAATTGTAATTACATTTTAATACCTATAATTTCTTAATTTTGTTTAATTTTAATAATTAAGCAAAAAAAGTTGCATTAAAACAGTAAATACGCTTCATTTTACCATGATGCGCGAAATATTGCGCAATGGAAACTATAGTCGGCACCCTTAAATAAAAAGTAAAGTATCTCAATTCAATGTAGAAGAAAAATATCCCATTGAATAACTAAATAGGGGACCAGATAAAAGAGAATGATTATCTTAGAAAAATATTGTGTTATGTACAAGTAATTTATCTCAGGATGAAGTGGTATGGAACAGGTCAGGGTGTGCACAAGATGGAAGAAATGTGATCTTATCTACATGTGTAAATAGAACAGAAAAACACACAAGTTACATAATATATTCATGGAAAATGACAGAGTGTTTTATTTCAGGGTGACAATGGATTTTGGAGGAAGTGACATCACTAGGTGTTTCCATCACATGATCCAGAGATCAGGAATTAACCTGAGGGAGTTAGACGCTCAGAATACGGTAGACTGTCTCCTGCTGCAGGAAATGAAGGAAACTTACTGCACTCTGGACCAGGTGTGTGTTATAATTTAGTCAGTCAGGCCTAAGTGTTATATAAATATTGTCAGTCAGATTTACTGCTCTCTGGATCAGGTCTATGCTTTAAATATTATGTTGGTCAGGCTTCTGTCCCCAGTGAATGTAACTACAGGTTTTACTGTTTAAGTGAAAAAAATATTACATTACTTTACACGTAGAGGTGGGATGGGAGTTGGAAACAATATTTACAGCAAAAAAAATATGGAGACTAATGTTATCCTGCGTGCATTGGCAATAGTGATAACAGGAATAAAGCATGGGGAGAGGTCGCTCAAGGAAGTACTTAGGATAATTATACGAAGAAAATCCATCAATATCCATAGGTGTTTTTAAAAAATAAAATACATTGATTTGAATAGGGTTTGACCATTGTTAAAATTAAAGGAAGTATTTTATTGAATGACATACTTCATAACTTGAATATTTATTGTAAAATCTCTGAAAAAGGAAACCACTGGCTTAGTGAGGACAGTTGAGTTGACTCACAGTTAAGCAGGACAACACCTCACACCTTACCCAGAAGTCAACTGAATACAATAGAACTGTAAAACTACCTTGTTATAAAGTTAACATTCTTTTTGAAAATTTAATGCTGATGAGATCAAGAGCAACTTATAAGATACAGACTGCTGATTTATAATGTAAAACCAATTACTGAATCATAAAAAGTTTTCAAATCATTAATTACCCCAACCTGTATTAGAGCAATGTGCATGCTAGTGCAGGCTGAAAATAAATGTATAAATTTCAAAAATATTTTTTAAGATAAATTATTCCTTACAAACCAATCCTGTTGTTATTTTGTAGGATGACAGTGGAGTAAAGGAACACTCCATCCTGATAAAGAAGCCAGAGCAGCACATTGTGAAGTATCCCATCAGGCTCGGAGAGGAAGTCATTCTCACTCCCATGAGCCTCTTCTTCCCTGACCTATTGACCTTACATGGAGACTTGGCACATGTCCAGAAGAGGAGCGAGGGAGATCCTGAGGACCCACATGATGAATTCTACCTCAAAATGACTACAAGGGAGGTAAGTCAATTCTAACTCATCATCGGAAACCCACAGGTGATTTCGTCTTTACTTATCCTCGTGGGCATACTCGCTGAAAAATGTAATTACATGTAAATATGCATGGATCATTTGATTGGCCGCTTCACAGAGTCGCGATGCTAAAACAAATACACAGCCAAATGCAATATCACTACATTCACAATAAGTTTGATTAAAATTTTTATCAACCTGTGTATCTAGTCTTAAATCACAGGGAACCAATACAGGTTCAATTGATAGAGGAAACATGTTATTTATTAATTTCTTAATTATCAAACATTTTCTTTCAGACAAAGCTGGCAAAAAAGAAAGACAACTCAGATAACAAAGATGCCAATGAGAGCAACATAGGTCAGTTTGACGATTCGACCTTTCAACCTCAGATAGACGAGGACTCGAACGACAACGCGGAATCTCTACAGGTTACGGACATACAGAAAGGTGGGCGGGGCTTAGAGATAGAGGAGGAGCTAGAGGCGGAGTCAGAACCTGTTGTACAACTGATGGGCGTCGATCAGGCCATCCTTCACAGTATAGATAAATGTGGTCAGTATGGAGAAATTATCTGTAACAAGTTAAAACTAAAGGATTGAAGGAAAAACAATTTTTACTTGTTTTAAATTTGGATTTTTCTTTTTTCTTCATTCAGCATGGTGTGCTTGTATTTTTTTCATAAAGGGGGGGGGGGGTGATGGAGGGGTTATATTTATATGAGGACATCTTTCTTCCCTATGTTAAAGTTGAAAATTTTCATCTTGAAGTTCATGTTCATTTCATTTTCTCTTTTGTGTATTTCTGATAATTTAAAAAATATTACTGTTATAGTACATCATTAGATTGTGCATGTTGTTTAGTCTTTCAATAAAATAAAGCCCATTACAAATAATCTTGTTTGTTTCTAAAAGACAGCAAAGAAGGATCCAGCATTCTTTTATGATTGACCCTGATTACATTTCAGACAATGATGAGACTAAGAAGAAGATGTACAGCTGTATCGTGGTGGTGGGGGGAGGGATGATGTTTGAGGGGGCCCAGCAGTGGCTCCAGTACCGCGTGTGGGTGGGGATGCCCCCGCAGTACCGACTAATGCTGGAAACCATGGACGTCTTCACCAGACCAAAGGTAAGTCCTCTTTAAACAACAAAGAACAATCCAGTCTGATTAAAATTAGATGTTAGATCCACTTGCATACTTGCTACACTAAAATCTAACAACATCCCATTGAGGGCACATCAGAGATCAAATTCTATCAACCAATCAAATTGTAGTCTGCAAAATCGTCGTTTATTGTTGAAGCCAATAAGTATATAGCTGCATGTTCCAAATTTGACCTCTGGCGTGACCCTCAATGGGATGTTGTTAGATGTTAGTGTAGCGAGTATGCGAGCGGATCTAACACCTAATTTTAAGTAGATTGAGAACAATCCGACCTATAGGTCCAGTCTGGGTCCTTTGTTTAGTTGTCCTGAGTAAGCTAAAGCATAGTACTCAAACTGCACACAATATTGTATGTGGATGAAAGGATGGCAGTGTGTTTGACCTTTTCCTTTGATTCTTGTAAAGTTATATAAAGTCCATGAAACAATTGGTTGTGAATGACCTATTCTGTTCATGACCTGCTGTGTAGGGTTACCCATGATATACAGGTTACTAATTATCTCCTTGTGATTCTTTCAGGACATGGATCCCCGCATGGTTTGCTGGAAAGGAGCGGCCATCTTGGCTTGTCTGGACACGACTCAGGAATTGTGGATCACACAGCGAGAGTGGAGACAGTACAGCGTACGGATGCTGAGAGAGAGGGCACCATTTATGTGGTGACAATAAAACAGACAGATATGTGACATGTACCATACAGACCAATGTTAAAGGAGGAGGCACCATTACAACCAGACAGATTTAAACGAGACTTACCAACCAGGCGAATGCTGAGGGAGAGGGTACCATTTATGCGGTGACATTTATTGGCTTAGATAAATTATATGGAGCTGTGATGCAACAGTTGAATCCCCCTCAGAGTGAACATGGTGAATGATCAAGTGAATTACGTAGGCTTTGACCTTCAAACTCTCATGAAAACATTCCAAGTGTATGATGAGTTTGGAAAGTGCTTTTTCTGACAGGTGTGATTACTGACACAATAACTACAGAAAAGACATTATATAGAATGTGTAGCCAATGAGCAAGTGAAGGCGAACCTAAACTAATGCCAGATTATAACATCTTAAGCTTTGTAATAAATTTACCACAGGGTTTGTTGTCTTGAATAAATGTTTAATCTTATAAAATAGCAATACATCTCTGACGGTTTTATTTCAGCATTTTATTTTTCTGTTTTACATGTAAGGGGATAATATGGTCAGTTGTCAAACATAATTCAATACTAGATGCTGTCATGAGACAGTAATACCCGCACTAAGGTGTTTGCCTCTAAATACACAATCCTACGGGCGGCTTACCAAGGAAAAAATCAAAATAATTCTATATAATTCAGGCACGTAGCATCGTTTTTGAAAGTGGGGGGGGGGGGGCAACCTGAGAAAATTTTTTTTACTTACCTAAAAAAATTAAAAAGGAAAAAAAATGAAATGGGGGGGGGGGGGGGGGTAGTGGCCACTTTTCTTTTCAAGGCAAAATTACTTTCACTTCCAATTTTTTCCCATATTTCCTTGCAATGTATATACTGTGGTAAAAAGGGGGGGGCAACCATCTTTTCAATGGACATTTTCTTATAGTACATGTAATGTTGGGAAAGAAGGGGGCAGCCCCCCCCCCCCCCCCGGTTGCTACGTGCCTATAATTTACATGTATTCATCAAATTGGGTATGAAATTATCCCTGTGACCTATAACTCAGAACCTCTTATATTTATTTTACATGCTTAATTCATTATATACAGGGCCGTAACTACCATTGAGGCAACGGAGGCAATTGCCTCCTCTAGATTTTCATTTTTTTTTTTTTTGGGAAATAAACACAACACAAGCAGCTGGATCAAGATTGATCATTTATTTGTTTGATTATAGCCACCTGAGCAATTTTTCAGCTATCCAGTGAGTGTCACCATTACCTATGCTCGGCGTTCAGGGCCTTTGAGCAGAGAGGGATCTTTATCGTGCCACAGCTGTGACACGGGGCTTCGGTTAACTTTATGCGGTCTCATCCGAAGGACCAGTCCCCATGTCCCATAGCGAAATTCGAACTACGGCGATCGATCATTTTAGAACTGCATTTAGTACAGTGAAAACTATTCAGAATGAATCGACGGGTACGATCTTTCCAGATCCCCCTATTGACTTAAATAATTTTATCTTTTTCTTGGGAAAAGTCAGTTTCGTATTTATCATTAAGCAGAAAGATCCATCTTGCGTTCTCTGGTGATCAAAGCTAGACGATCACCGTTAAGCCTTCAGACAATATTGAAAATGGGAATTACGATTGAAATTTATTTGATCATATCTATCCAAAATAGTACATAAATAGGTAATATAATAAAGTGGTAAGCATTCTCAAAATAAAGGAAATGGTCCAAAATTGAGCCGTTTGAAGCAATTTTTTTACGGGGGGCTTCGCCCCGCACCCACCGGTCTTTGGGGGCCTCAATCGGCGGCCCCCAAACCCCCACCTCCTCTATCTTTTACCCCTAGTTACGGCCCTGATATACCAGTTTGAATTCTATTAATAATGTAAATTAGATTTTGATAAATGTTTTGCTCATAATAGGACCTTTTTAAATTTACTAATCCCCCCCCTCTCGACACCACAATCACACAGTACATACTTTTGGGAATAGGCTAGATGGAACAGTTTTGTTAAAACATTGTTTGTTATGAATTAATTTAAAATTTGTTCTTGACATGTAAATTCTACATCACATCACGTTGCGTCACCCATTATCATATTTTTAGATTAAACTCTATTCGGTACACCTCGGCCAATTCCCACTTCATCTGATAAGGTGACGGAATCGATGGCACGAAGGTTTTCCGAATGGAATATCATTATAACATGCTGCAGAATGGTGTGCTTTGGATTAATTCATTTTGTGTTATAATTGGATTTATATTTCATGAAGTTTACAAGACCTATGGAGGTCGGTAAGTACAAGTTTAAGTATAGTGGGGGGTAAAATAAACCCAAACGATTAGGTTAAAGTTCAAAAAGGGTCAAAGATCATCGCATGCCACACTAGACGAATTTCATATTGTGAAGTTATCTCCCCTTGTCGATGTGACATTCAGTTACTGCCAATACTGGTGCGGATCCAGAATTTTTTTTTCGGGAGTAGGGAGGGGGGTTCACATCTCAGTCAAAAAATTCATGCCTAGAATTTCCTGACAAGCAGGAGAAAAAAACTCATACACTGAAAACAAATAAACAAAAAAACCCCAATGTTTTCTTAGTTAGGGGGAGGATGTCCAAAGTCATTTTTTATTTGCTTCAGTATATAGTCTTGTTTAAATAACAAAGGAAATTCCAGGGGGGGTCCAATCTCCCTACCCACTCACTATCCCTGAAATAACAATCTATTTTGTGATTCCAATTAAATAGTATATTTTTTTTCCATTTGACTAATTATGTACATATTTTGTTTCTTGTGTTTATATTATGTCTGTCTATTTGTCTGCAGAAATTATAACCTTGCCCATAAGTTTTAAGTGGGATGGGCTATACAATTGGCTTCCATATTTTATAGGTTTATTTCTTGTGACAATTAAGACCTTTTATTTGGGTACCATTAATTTTTACCTCTGATCACTTGACCTAGAATACACATTTTTACAAGAAAAATACCCAACTTTAAACTTGGCTTAAATTTTGATCAGTAGGTGCTAGGGCTTTCATGCTTAACATGTGTATTCATTGTGAACTGTCAACAGGTATAAATATGTTTGACCTTGACCGTAGAGTTTGAACCACTTAAAAAATTAACCTTGGCAATTAACTTTTGAAAAGGAAGTACTAGGGATTACTTATTTCACATGTGCATTCCTTGTGACAAGACTTTTTTTCTGATACCAACAATTTGAACCCTTTGACCTTGACCTTTGAGTTTGACATATATTTGAGAAACTTCAACCTTTGCCATAGGCTACCAGACAGGGACATCAGTGTTTCACAAACACATCTTGTCTTCATTATTATTTGGTGGTGTCTCCATATGACGGAAAAATTCCAATGAGAGATGTATTCACAACAAACAAACAAATTACTAAAGAAAATATAAAACATGAATATGTTGGTCATGCATATCTCTGCATGAAAAAAAAA